TTTGTCAAACTGGTTTGGGCAGGCTGAAAATGGGGCAGATAGAATGGACTGGGTAAACAAGATAACTGCGGTTATTACATCTCTTTTGAATTCTCATATCCTGCAGCAGGTACTTTTTTTCCTTTTAAAGCCATTTTTTTAATGATATTGAAATAGTAATTCACATGAAATTGTTACTAATACTAATTTGTTTGTCTGTTGTGGCTGCATCACGGAAAAAAGCATGTGGACAATAATGATTATGCTTGCCGAGCTACTTCTGATGTTAGGTCACTTGATAGCCTTGGTAGTTTAGAGATTGACCGGATAGGAAACAGAGCGGAGCCTGTTTCTTCAGTCTTTAGAGAAATTCCTGGAAATGATATTTGTGCAGAGTGCAGTGCTCCTGAACCTGATTGGGCATCTCTCAATCTTGGCATACTATTATGCATCGAATGCTCAGGTGTTCATCGGAATCTTGGTGTTCACATTTCAAAGGTGCAATCTGTTTGAATTTATGGCCTCTTTTTTTTGCTTGTAGTTTTTGTTAATTTTGCTATAATCGTTTTGAATTTATATCAATAATCTACATTTGGTCTTCTAGCTGTTTGAGGTCCATTAGAAACATGGAGCTCATTCCCTTGATACCACTAAAAATGAGTGTCTACTGTTAGCTGATGTACCTTTTTTAAGCTTCCAAACTTTTATTTCCATAGCAGGGAATTGAACAGTATTAGGTTGCAGCTTCTTACTATTCTTGTTGTTGTTGTTTTGGATATTACACTTTCCACCTTTTACTTTCATGAAACCACACTAAATGCATATACCATGTCTTAATTATTACTACCTGGGCAGTTGGTGTGCACAGGTAAGAATTCCTCCATTTTGGATGACATATATTAGATCGTTGAATTTAATTTCACATTATCGCCTTTTAAAGTGCCTAATTCCCTTCATATCCTACACAATTGGGTGCTGCAACAGGCTGTTATGCAATTTCAAACCAGCTTCTATACTTAAAACTGTCTTTGCTGTCACTGATTTATAAGTAGTTTGCCCATGAAATATCTGGTGGACAATATGAGTCATGCTGTTAAATTCCTTACTCTGAATTTCATGAGTTGAATGACAATTTACTTACTATTTTAAGTAGAAAAATAAGGAAAATTTAACAGTCAAAAGAACAGATAGGAGGGACCAGGCAGATAATAAGGTTTCATTCATTTTAAGAGTCTCCAATAAAAGAATACTCTTCTACTTTGTGCAGGTGAGATCTTTGACGTTAGATGTCAAAGTGTGGGAACCTTCAATTGTGGAATTATTTCGTACTCTGGGCAATGCTTATTGTAACTCTGTATGGGAAGGTTCTCTCCTTAAGAATGAAAGGTAAGATTTCCTCTGGTTAAACAGCAAATAAAATGCTGCTAATTACAAATCTGTTAATTTGGGAATGCTATTCCATTGGCTAATTGTAAATTTGTAATTGTTTATATCTCATAGAAATATCCAGTGTTAAACATATGGTATAGAAGATCAGGCAAGGAAGAAAAAATTAATTTGCTTTATTATTATTATTATTTATTATTTTCTCGGCATTACTTTTGCTTAATTTGTCTTCCTATCTTGTTAAATATAGATTTGGTATGATTGGGGCATTGTTTTTCTCTATTATTTGTTTCTCAGAAAACAAATTTTGTATTTTTCCCTTTTCGTATGTTAGTTTTAATGTGATATCTAAAAATCTTCTCTAAATAATTTAAAATAGGTTAACATAATATCTTAATTATGAGGAAGTATAGAAATCCCATAACCTTTGGTGGCCTTTTTGTGTTCAAAAAATAGTTTACACCTAAAACCACTTTTGTCATTATTTGAAATTAAAAATATTTATGCCTTATAGATGATAAACAAAATTATCATCACAAATAAGAATTCTTATTGAAACAATGTTAAGGAGCTAAGTACAAAAATAACATAATGTCTATTAAACATGTTTTCTCTTGAGAGAAATCATGGTCATTCTTAAAAATACACTGATCGAACTTGTATAACATTTGTTAGCACATGAATCAGCAGCAGCTTTATGTTTACACATGCTTAAACTTTGTCATCTCAGATCTTCCAAAATGTAATTTATAAAAGTAGGGAACAATTCATGAAGAGATGCCCTGCTCCTTCATCTAGTCATATTTTTGAAGCAACTATTTTTCATTACCATTATTTTTGCCAATAAGAATTACTGTCTAGGATGACATTGAAGTGTTAAGTGAAAGGATTGTTTTTTATCAATATATTTAATTCTTATGCTTTATCTTGAAAATGATGAGCTTTTAAAATGGAAAAAGTTGTCTTTTTTTGTTAAAATAGTGTTTGATAAAATGAGAGTATATTTTACTCTTTTTGTTTTTCGAGAAAAAAAAATCCCCTCATCCTATTTTGTTTTTGTTCTTGTCTGCAAAAATATGACATAGGATAAGAGTTATTGCATCCTTTGCTCTTCCTTATTGCACCCTTTTGCCTCTCATAACTAGTGTGTCAAATATGCCCAAAAGGTTCACTGTTTTTGTTAGTTATGTTAGCTTGATAATCATTTAACTTATTATAAGTGAATTTGAGGAAATGAAAGATGGTATGGTTGAATTGATGATTGGTAACTGGTTAACTGGATAGCTTCATTTGTTTTCTAGTAGCTATTGATACAATAGTCTGCTTTCTAATTCCTGTTGGATGCAATTCTTTGCAGAGTGGATGATACAAATGCTATTAGCGCATCAATTGTAAAACCATGCGCTAAAGATGCTATTTCCCATAAAGAGAAATACATCCACGCTAAGGTATTCGGTTGCATTTTATTTCTCTTGGTCTGCATGCACTGAAATTCATGTTTCCCATCTATGCATTGCTTTATTCCCTTCTTCCTTGTCTCCCAGTCCCCCTTGCATTGTGCCATTTAACTCATGGGGTGGTTGGCTGGGTTTTTAGTCAGCAGGGATCTTCTTCTAGCATATTTGCTGCTTTAAGTAATAGCAGGAAAAAAATGTGGTATTATTTAAAATATTAGTCTTCTGCTACTCTCAATCACTTCTGTATTGATCTGTGGATTCTTTAGCTTCTTATGCAAGAAAGAAAAGAATCTTTCTTTCAAGGACATTATGTGTTACTCTTCATATTTTAGATTATTTCTTGTTGCCATCTCTGTTCTATATGCCTGAAGTTGTATTTAAGCTGAAAAGCAGGTGCATAGGCACACATACACACCTATTCCATTTAGACAATTGCCAATTATCATTAATGAAAACACCATGGTGTTTAGATTAGTCTTTCATCTCTCACACTGCTATGATAAGAGGTGTGAATTTTAATACAAAGCCTAACATCATTCCTTGCTCTTAACCAGTATGTAGAAAAATTGCTAATCATCAGAGATGGAACGCTACCTGGAGTTCCTCCTAACTCAACAAACATCTGGCAAGCAGTTAAGACGGATAATTTACGAGAAGTATATCGTCTAATTGCAATGTCAGACACCAATATCATAAATACAACCTTTGATGATGTTGTTAGCATTGAGTCGTATCACCATATTGATGCACAAGATTCATCACTTGATAGCCACAAAGAGGAAAGGAAACAGTATGATCCATCAGCCTGTCAGAGAATCAAGGATTCAAATGACCCAGGGAATTGTCTACAAGGTTGTTCAGTGTTGCATCTGGCATGCCAATGTGGCAATCCTGTGATGGTTGAACTGCTGCTGCAATTTGGTGCCGATATAAATATGCGCGACTTCCATGGCAGGACTCCTTTGCACTATTGCATATCTATAGGGAACAACACATTTGCAAAGCATCTACTAAGAAGGTAGGCTGCATATTTTGCATAAACACTTATCCATAAGAAATCTGAAAGTTCAGACAAATAGACGTGTCCTAGCCTGAATGTTACTAATTTTAGCATGGCCTCCAACCCAAAAGTCAATATTAAGTGAGGGGACCTTTTTCTACATATGCCCAAGATCGCTGTAGTACACCTCTTACATGGGACTCAACATACACCTGCACCATGGGACAACTCTCTTGGCTATCCTAGCACCCTTTTCAGGGTGAACCACACCGGGGTTCGATGCTGTGGTGCCCCTTGTCCTCATGATAGTATTCTTAGAGTGGCTCTGATACCAGTCACAAGCTTGGGCCTCAACCTAAAAGTTTATGCTTTTAGGTTAAGGTGGCCATCCCTTATATATGTCCAAGATCACTTTAGTACATATATGATGTGGTCATGTCTAAAGTGGTATTAGAGTCATTTTCGGGGTACTATCATGTGGACTCGACTGTCCTTTGGCACTGGATCACACATGGTGGTGTGAGTCCCCTTAACGAGATGTCATTGGTCTAGAGAGCTGTCATGTGGTGTAGGTGTGTGCTGAGTTTCATTTTGTATGTGTACAAGCTATAAATAATACTTACTATATTAAAATCCTTACTTTATATGCATATATACGTATATGTTCCTAAATCTGGAGATGGAAGCTTTACTAGAGTAGATCATACCAAATTATTCATTAAACCTATTTCATATTGTTAACAGACTTTCATCATTATCTTGATTTCTCTGCTAAAATAGTGCTTGATAAAGAGGATTTATGTAAGTTAAAGATCTCATCTCTCTTGGCTAAGTGGATTTAATTTGCCAATACTACACAGAGGTGCACGACCATCGATTAAAGATGGTGGGGGATTAAGCGCATTAGAAAGGGCAATGGAGAAGGGAGCAATTACAGATGAGGAGCTATTTATTTTGCTCAGCGAAAGCCAGTGAAAGAGACTTGGTTTCCTCAAATGTGTAAGCCTGCTTCTGTTCCCGTGATTTTCACTTATGTTGGCTGTTGTTGCCTATGACCAGAATAAGAGCCTTTGATCCTCTTCGAATCTGTTGACGTTTTCTACTGAATTGTGTCTCCTATTCTTAAAAGACCAGATGCAGTCTTGAGTGCTAATTTGCTCCTGTTGTGCTTCTAATGATTTTTTTTTTTTCTGTTGATTGTATTTCCAAATTTTTACTAACAAACGTCTCTAAGATTCAGGGGAAAGTTAAATTTGATGGTCAGTTGGTTGCATGTAACAATCTATTTAGGGCATAATGGCCAATTTTCTTTGCCCGTTTCCTGAATCCAGTTTCAGATTATTTAATCATTGCGAAAAGTTATTACACACACGCACACACCCACGGATGCTGTTAGCTAAAGCACCCTTCCTCAACAACTTAAAATTCAATGAATACTACAATTTCATATGATGTTCCAACCGTGAAATTTGATTTGCAAAAGAAATCACAGATGAATCTAATGATTTACAATGGAAAGTTATTATTAGGTGCAATGCAGAGCCGGACTCTTTTCCCTTTTAAGAAGCAGAGGTGAACATTTTATGTACCCAAAAAGAGAATACCTTTCTCAGCCTTTCAAAATTCAAATACACAAAAGAAGCAAAAACGAAAAAGCTAGAAGGAGCAAGTCCAAGCCAAAATTTCCAATGGTTACTATTTCTTAGCAATCATCCATAGTCGCTCAAAATTGCAACCTCATCACTGGCTAAGCAAAGTAAACGGCTACAATCAGAACACTGATCCAAAAATGATCATATCTTGTGAGGACTGAATTGATCTCCACAGTCCAATGGAGGAAGAACAGCTCTGTGCACATTCCCTCTTAGCCTCTTATCAATTTCTTAACTTGTTTTACCCCTTCTGACCTTGACATTTCCACCACCAACACTTTTAACCAGACCTTCCATGGCTTCTATAAAGGAAGAGTAGCTTCAATTTTGCCCCATGACTCTAGGGCATCCCCTTTAAGCCTCTTTTTCATCTTTTCAACAACTTGCTTAGCCTCCTCTGATCTTGACCTTTCCACCAACCCTTTAACCAGACCTTCCATTGCCTCAAATGGAGGAACCCACTTCCTCTTTATAGTTTCCATACTCATTTCCAAAGCCAAATCAAACTCTCCTTCCTTCACCATGCTCCTAAGCAAAGTATAATAAGTAAATGAACACGGCAAAACATACCCATCACTCAGCATCTTGTCCAAAACCTGCCTAGCCGATTCCAAATCCCCTATCCTACAAAATCCATCAATAATAGTATTGTAACTAGCAGAATTCGGCTTCTTCCCTTTCGAAACCATCTCATCCAACAACTTCTTAGCCCTAGCACATTCCTTACTCTTACACAACCTCGAAATCCTATGATTATAAGTAGTCAAATTGCCCTCTAAACCTTTCCTAGAAACTTCTTTCATAGCCCCATCAAATCCATTCTCATCCCCATTCTTCAAATAACCACCTAACAATATATTATAAGTATCAATGTTAGGACTCACATCCATTTTCTCAACCCATTCGAGTGCGGATTCAAGCTTATTCTCTTTCACAAACGCTTTAACAATCAAGTTATGCGATACAACACCGGGCTTAACGCCAAGCTTTTCAGGAATTGTCTTAAAGCAATCGTAAATTTGCTCAAACATCCCATTGTTTAGATAAACAGTAAGGATAGCACAAAGGGATTTTTCTGATACATTAGAATACCTGTTTTGACACAAATCTTCGAGGGTTTGTAGCGCTTGCGGGACCATCCCTGCATTTGAGTAAAGCATAATGAGACGGATCCAAAACCCTTCAGACTTGAGGGCAGGGGCATTTTGAGAATGGAGCTTTTGGGCTTGGAGAACGCGGTCCACGAGGTCGAGGCGGTTGGCACGAGCTAGCTTGCGGATGGAGAGGTGGTAGATGGGGCGGTGGCGGAGGAAAGTGGGCAAATGCGAAGACTGTTGGAAGATTTCCGCTAGCTTTTCAGGGTTTTTTTCCGATATGATGGCAGATTTCGCGGCTTTGAAAGAAGGAAACGGAGGGTTTAGCTTTTGAGTTTGAGTGGAGAAGAATGATTTGGGGATTGCCAGTCTTGGGTTCTTGAAGATGGAAGCCATGTTGTCTAGTGCTGAAGCTGGGGAAAATGGGGAAGAGAGTAGGGTTTTAGTATCCCTTCGGAAAAAGAAAAGAGAATTTCCAAAAAGGTGTATTCCAGTTAAAGTAATACAGAAAGTACTCGTAATGGAAAGTTTATTATTGTTTAGTGCAGTAAGTTTTACCTTTTTGGGCTAGGTTGATTGGGGGCACATGGCCCAAGCTTCCAGGAGCTTGGGCCAGAATCCAATCTTTGCGGGGTGCTGTTAAAAGGGCTTTTTTAAAAAATATTTTATTAGGTAGTAATTATTTTAAAAAATTAAAAATAATTTTGTGTTTGATAATTTTATTAAATTTTTTAAATTGTTATGAAATAAATCTAAAAGAACAACTATAAGAAAAATATAAACGAAAGTATTTAAGAGAAGAAAAGAAATCTTATTGAAGTGTGTATACAAATAAATTAAGAGAGTTTATTTATAGACAAATAACCTTTTTACAAGATAAAGATAATACTTAGAGATTAGATGGATTAAATCTTAATCTAATCTAATTTACATCAAATCTAGAT